TATACACTGACTCAAAGACACTATACTGTCATAAATTTTCTGTATACCTTTGAGTTATGTTTTTGATTTATCTATTTTTTTTTATTTTACTTTACTCTTTCATTATGATTCCAAGACATATTTTAGAGACTGTATCACAAGAGAGATACATTTTGTAATAAACTAATTGAAATACTAAAAAGACCCCTTTTATCCTTTGATTGCTATTATCATCCACAGAGAAGCATTAAGTCTTGTTTCAGGCAAACAGCGAAATAAGCAGTACTCTTGCTCCTTGCTGAGTAATGAATTCTTTCTCTGAGCAAAATCTTTTCTTTCTTAAACATTTGGCTGCATGACCTCAAAGGTCCAACTAAGCTCCCGCACTCTATGATCATATTCAGTCTGCAACTCATGCCACAAACATCTCCAAACGTCTTACATCTGTTCTTCTAAAACTACTTCCTAATATACATATTTTAAAATGAGTAGATCTTTTTAGTTTCAAACACTAGGATAGTTTAATTGCATAGCTCTATTTAGTGATGCAGGTGTATATTTTTACATTTCATTTAAAATTTGCTAAAGTCTTTACCCCACAAACCCATTGTAGCCAGAAATACTATCACCTCTAAATTCCTCTTCTTGCTATGGGAGTCCTTGGGCATCAAGAGTGCTACCTAGGTACTAAATACTCATCATTAAATCTGCCTATCCCCTTTGCATTACACATACCCGATACAGTGTTTAAACTAACATGTCCTTTAAACAAGACATTCACTTTCAGCATGCCTTGATTTCCTCATTACTGTTATTCTCGCACCTTGAATCCCATGCTTTTCCCATGACATACGCTTTTGTACCCATAACTCAAAGGCTCTCTGCAATCTTTCCAGACACTTCCCTAGAACAATACACAGTATAACGTTAATATTACTATTTTTTTTATTTTCCAACACTTTCAACATCCAGTGAGTCACATGACAGCTTAAAGTAGCACACTGAAGCCCTTCTTTGGTGGCTTTTAAATTGTTTATGTGTTTGTTTCCTCTGTAAAGTAAGAATTACTCTAGAGCAGGGACATGATGATACTAACTTTATTGTTTCTAAAACCAGATTCGTAAAGGATCTCAATAAATGTTAGGTGAATGATAAAACTGTGAAAGTAAGCCACATTTCTCAAGTAAAGATATGAATAAATAAGTGAACAGAATGAAAGCTGGGAAATCTCATAGTAGAAAATGCTCCTTTGGAAAAAGGACAAAAAGGCTCCATAAAAATCTATCTTCAAGTATTGTGGGAAGCTACTGCTTTCCCAATACTGACATCAAAGTGCACCAAGGAATGCGGAAGGCCAATGGTCCTTGGACTTAGTAGGGCTGTGTTGAGAGAGTGGTGACTCAAAGCAATTTCTTGACCTGATAGCCTCAAAGTAAATGTTTACTAGACCTTACTGATCTTTACTGGCCTCTGAGATGGTCTGTCTGCTACCTGTTTGCCATGCTTTACTGAGGGCAAGATGTTTATCTAAAAGTGAATAAAAAGCAGAGTGGCCAGGAGTCAGTGTGCTTCTCCAAGAGAGGTTTCCATCTGGCCACCCATGCCTTCTAAGTGTATGTCTCTTATATAGCTTTTCATTTGTGCAAGGCCCCTTCTTCAGATCCTGAATCCTAGCCATAAATTGTTTTGGCAAAGTGTTCAGACATTTCTCAAAGTTGTTATTTGAATAGAGTTCCTTTGGACTTCTACTGGTATAAACATTCCACATACAGTAAGATTTTTCCCTAGATCAAGTAGTCAAAGTGGCCTTAATAAGGAAGTTCAGAAGTGGGTTCAGGAACACACACAACACATGCTTGAATAATGAGAAATTATAGATCTGGTAGTCTACTTTTAGTATCCAGGTGATTCAATGGGTTTTATAATTTGCTTTGGATCAAAAATAAAAACATCAAAGTTGGGCATTAACATTCTACAGTTCTAGGACTTTTCAAGTACCTTTTAATTACAACACAACAGACATCATCTTCTTTTAGCACATATTTTTAATATCTTAGGTGTGTGATTATCATTCTCACATCATATAATTATGTTAACTAATAAATACTAACATATCTAATTCAGTTCCAGCAGAGTGAAGATAAATCAGGAGAATGAGTTGTAACTCCCAATTAACTCTTGCTTTCCTAAAGTAGAATAATAAAAAAAATCTTAGAAAGGATCAGTCTTGAACTGAATAGACTTATCAAAAGTAGATTTAAGTTCTCCACTTAATTCTATTTAAGGATTATCATTATTAATTTTTCTAAACCTTCTGAATGTTTTTTTTTTCTTTTCTTTTTTATAAGAAAGCCTCTAAGGACATTGTTACTCATATGATTGTTTCACAGATTTTTGTCATTGATAAAAATGTTTTTAAAATACTGACATCCCAGATCTGGTTCACTTAAAACCAAACACAGAGATAAATTCATGGTCCAACTGTGCTCATATTGTAATCCTATGTCCTAAGACAGGTCACTTATGTTCGGTTCTTCCACTCCAGGATCAGCATATCATTAATATCAGAGTTTCAGTCTTACTCAAGTGAGAACATATGCTTTATAATCAGTGAAGCACTGTCCAAATATCAGTGATTATTAGTTTGAGTGCACAGTAAGATTGTGCAAACAAAAATGGAGCTTGTGAATAACCCATTAAAATACAGTGGTTTATGGGAGAAATATGTTGACACAGACTTAAGGAATTAAGGCTATATTAAGTAGAAGCTCCCGAATATATATTAAGAATTGAGGGTGGAAAAAAGATAAAGCAAAAACCCTATTTTAAAAAGGAGAGGATCATGGACAGATGACTACAGTGGAAAACTCAGTAGTCTTGTGGTTCTGAGAAACTAAGTTTGTGGCATGTGTCTAAGTAGAATAGGGAAAATGCTTAACAACAAACACTGGTCCATCAAAGGCTTGCTGGAGAATTTACAAGCAGTCGACCACTCAGTTAATTGCTATGACAAGCACTGACCACCAGGGGGGTAGATACTCAACAAAGGAGCTTCTCCCTGGTGGTCTGTGTACTCACTCCAACTTTGGGAGCACCACTCAGCTGACCTAGGGGCACCAGACACTGGGCTCATGGCTGGTGAGTAAAGCTGCTGTGGTATGAGCCTCTGCAGTCTCTGTGGCAGCGCTACAAGCAGCAGTGGCAGCAGCAGAGGCAGCAGGTGCAGGGGGGGCAGGATGAGCAGGAGCTGCTCAAAACTGGCAATCTGACACCCACCAAGGGATCCCGAATTGCAAGAGGGTGCAGGCCAGGCTGAGGGACCCCACCAGTGCACAAATCCATGCACCAGGCCTCTAGTTATCTACAAAAGACAAGGCAAAAATCTTAATCTGCATTCATATTTGTCCCCAGGCTGTCAGTAGGAAACCTTACAATCCTGTAGGCACTTCAAGCCTTTAGTGGCCTTATCCTCAGCCACTGAAACCTGGACCTTTCTCCTGAATGGCTTAGGCTGTTCTCCATTACTGCTAGCCCATCCACTCATCAATCTGAATATACAAGCCTTGTCATAGATCCTCTCAGATTCTGCCACCTTCAAAAGTATTTAACACACTCTTCTTTATGTTTCAACAATACCTGCTATAGTTTACTATTATGGACCCCTGGGCAATGATTATGGGGTCCTATTTATTTCTTATTCAGCCATCCACTTTTCTTCTCTTAACAGTTTCCCCAAAAGACCACAGTGCATACTACATACCTGCAGCTCAGTATGTTTATAGAAATAAAGTGTATTTCTACTATCAACAGGTCTGGTGGGGCCAAGAGTAATGATGGCAAAGGAAAAGCTAAGCTCTTCTCTAATATGTTTTGCTGACAGTCCAATTATATGTCTAGGAAAGGTAATGGGGAAATATCTAAAGAGAAAAGAACTGCCACATTACATGCAGTTCAGTGTTGAAATGACCGACAGCTGAGAAACAGGCATGGCATTTAATTCATGAAAGGAACCATTTTGAACACAGTAGCTGCTGTTCAAGAACTGGAGTAAACTCGGCATGCCATATACACTGTCACTTAGTTAAGAAAGCATCTCACAAGTCAAACATTGCAGTGACAATTGTGGCAGTCCAGTCTGTGCATTTAGAGTTCTTCTGGCTGTCTTCTGACGACATGGAGGCCTGGCATAGATTTCCCTTTACCATCTCAAGACCTGAGCTGACAGGGAATGACCACTAGCAATGAAAGTTCAGTTTCTGAATACAGATAGTAAACGACAATGTAGCCAGTTTCAAAAACACACACACACAAAAAAAAACAAAAAAAAACACACAAAAAACAAATAAGTAACTTGATAACAAAGAGCACCATCTACCTTTTAAAAATAGAGATTAATGGCTATCACTAAATTCTGGTGAACTTGAGGAGAAACTGGTATATTCCAACTGCCAACACAAGCTATTAATAATTTTGGAAAGAAAAATAAAGGAAATGGTCAGACTTCTCAATGTAGAAATCCCACTATTAGGAATCTAAGACAGGGAAATAGCTCCAAAGAAAATACTCATGAACAAGTCCTTCATAGCATTACATAAAACAACAAAAAAATGGAAGCTAACTTATAGATCCAGCATAAGGAATTTCTTTACAGAAGACGTAGCCCTCACTTTAACATAGCCGTGTTAAATTCTATTTGTGAAGAATGTAACAACATGTACAAAATATCCACATACTCAAAGTCAGAAAATGAGGACAATGGAGTAAAAAGAGTTTTAATTTTCAGAAGTTTTTTTTTTTTGTATAATGCTGTTGTATTTTAAAGACAATACTAATAAAATTAATTTTTAAAGATCTGTCTGTTAGAAAACATACATTGATATAAAATAAAAAGGCAACTTAGACCATTGACTATGAGAAGATTAAAAAAAAAGGGGGGGGGGCATGGACAGCAGTTTATACTTTCAGATCGTCATAGACTATTTGCAGTTCGCTATGTTGAGACATTCCTGGACAACTCTTACCTGTGGGGGCCGAGGTTTGTAGGGGGAGCTGCACTCAAGGTCAGCCAAGATGCTAGTCAATGAGTCGATCTCAGCATCCAGGCTGGAACGTCTCTCCTCAATCGTCTTGCCTCCAGGATTTCCCTGCCAGAGGCAACACAGATATGTTCAAAAAGGTAATTTTCAGTTTCCATTGATATCTGACTGAATTCAAAATTCCCTAGTTATACTGTGGCTTTGTCCAAAATGTTCTGAATCTACCCCTTCTTCCCCAACACTTATAACATTTCAATGGTAGCCTGAAATAGAATGACCCTTTTTTGACAAATAAGAAAACTGGTAGGTGTAAGGTTATTTTTCTAAGGTCACACTTATGTTTTGAGGAGTATAAAAGTAAAAATAAGTAAATGTCTCTATCCTGTACTCAAGAAGCATATCCACCTGGGAAGATACTGCAAGTTCTTTGTGTTCAGAAACCATTGCTTAGAATGATGACATTTTAGTTGGAACAGGAAGGGCAAGGGTGGGAGACTTACAGTCCAGGAAGAGGAATCACCAGGGGACCCATGTCTGTGTGACAGACAGAGATTGCAAGTCCCAATCAATGAGTAAAAAATGAACTAGCATGAGACTGCTCAGGATTCTGGCCTAGGGGCTGCAGAGAAAGCATGTGGCAGTAGCCACTGATCTGAAGCTGGAGTTTTATAGATTTCATATGGCAATGTCCTGTGTTAACAGAAGTACCAACTTCTACCTGCACTCAGAATCAATAAGAGGTGAGTAGAAGACAATAAAATTACCACAAGGGCAGCCCCAGGCATAGTGAGAAGGTTCTGCAGGGTGGTGTGCTTAGAGCTTAAGGGGAAAATATAGAAAGTGAGATGGCCTTAGAATTTGAAAATATGAAGTGAGGTGGCAAATTTTCAAGGTAATTATGAGCATGGATTTTCAGGGAGTATACTTAAGACTCCACCAAAAAACTAAAATGCATCAGCAGCAAGACCCAATAAAAATAAAATAATGGAAAGTTACTATAAACTAATCAACCCTGTCAAACCTGTCAAAGGCAGTTAAATATCAGGTTAGTGCCTGAAAAGGTATAGAAAAAGCATTAACCAATAAATCAGAATATCCTCAGCAAAACAAAATATAAGAAACCCTGACAAGTTAGCATTAAACATTATAGTCCTCTAAGTAAGTTTATCTTTCTAATAAATATGCTGCAATGGTAATGATAAAATAATAGAATTGTTTATTAATACTACTAGTTTCTTTTCTCCTGGTAGCTTGCTCACCAAACTATCTTTTTGAATGCTAAAACTTATTTAAGTTTCTGCATCAGACAGCCTTTAGGGGATCTGATACATTAGTCTCTTGTGAATTAAGGCAGCATGAGTTAATCCATGTGGATTTAATCTAACCCAGGCATACTGACAACACCAAAGTCTATAAACTTGTGGCCATAGCCCAGACCCCTTGGAACAAAATCTGATGACTGCTGCCTGCCCCCGGGGCAGAGGGCATCCCTCTCTCAGAGCCTTCTTTAATTATGTCTATGTTTTACCACATTATTGAAAACAAGCTTCTCTACATTTACTCTTTCTGGATGTATTTGCATGACTTCTCTATGGCACTCTTATCCCTCACCTGTTTATTTTTCTCATAGTATCTATCATGATCTAACATCACCTTTTGTCTACATTTGTCTATCATCGGTTTCCCCCAGGAGAATGTAAGATTCATGGCAGAAAGGACTTCACCTGTTTTGCTCCTTAATGATTCCTCAGAATCTTGCTGAGGGCCTAATCCATGGAAATGTTGAATAAAAATGTTTAAGTAAATAAATAGATAGGTAATGACAGATGCTGGCATAGGTCCAGTCAGTAATCCTTTTCATATCAATATTTTTTTTTGGTAAAAACAGCTAAAGGTCTAATAACAGCAGTAGATGCTCTAGTATAGAGAGTTTATATTATATTAATAGAAAAAGAACCAAAAGGCTCAGTGTACATGTGTGTGCATATCTGTGTGTATGTCTGTGTATTTCACACTGTATGGCTCAGATATAAAGGTTGCCCTTAAGAAAAATTAGATATTTTCTTCAGCTCTCTTCCACAGTAAAAAAGAAAAAAGAAAAAAAAAGTAAATAAATAAATGTAATGCCAGGTTGACTAAGTTTTCTCAGAGCCTACATTCTGGGTTTGATCTAACACTATAAGGCCAGAGGGCCATTTTGAAAGTGCTAATCCCTCTATCAGAAGCAATCTCATAGTTTTCCCACTGAGTATAATTAACTATGAAATACTGTGGTATTAAGAAGAAAATCTTTTACACATTCTTGTGAACATTCTGATACTGGGTCCTGGTATGAAAAAAAAAAAGGTGGGGGGGAGAGGATATTATTGTTAAGTATGGCAACTGAGAAATGTGTGAACCTGTTCTCTTACATGTAGATAAAAAACATGATAAGTACAAAATTGATAAGTGTATTTTCATATACTTATAGATAGCACAATATACTGGTAAGGGCAGTGGATTGCAGCCTTCTTAAATTCTTTCCTGAGCCATAGTTTCTTCATCTATAAAACAAGTAGAGTATCACCTGACATACCTAAGATAGAAGGACATTAAAATATTCAGATAAAAAATGGATGAGAAAATACTTTGTAAATTATAAAGTACTATAATTATAATTTTCATAAATAGCATTAATTATAGCAACCAGTAACTATAAATTAATATAAGTAATAATGCTATTGTTAATTACTCTTCTTTTTAAGGGAAGCATCATTCATTAGGTGTTCCCTGGGGGTATCAGTAAAGAGACAGCATTTAATAAGGTCTACAACATCTGTACTGTAGCAGAAAGTACACTAACTGCCCATGCCCCAAGTCACTGGAATATCTAACCACAAAGACTCAAAAATCATAGAATTACCCTGAGCAATACAATGAAAACAAGTAATTATAGTGTGCAACTAGCCTGTGCACGCAATTGGTATGCAGCCTCTTTAGTCTACCATCCCTCTGAGTTGGAATTACTCCCATTTTTAGTTGCTCATATTAGGTTGATGCAATTAAGAGGTCCAGCCTAATGCTGTGGGATGTTTGTATCTCTTGTTGACTTAGTTGACCTTCTGAGAAGAGCTGTGCTCCTACATTTATTTCAATTCCCATTATGGATTAAAAAAGGCCTCCTTATCATTATACAGTCTCTATTTTATTTCTCAGTTCAAATACCAGATGTTCACCCAAGTTCCACCTACAACCCTTTTCTGGAATGCTCATCTAATCTCACAGCACCATTATATTCAGGGACTATATCATAGCTACTCCCAATACTTTATATTAGATACCAGAGTCCATAGTCTTATAACCACATGACAGAATCCTACACACACATACCAATGTATCTTCTTCTTAACTCCTCATCACTGTAGCTTTACCATTTACCTAAAGGCTAAATGACTTTCTGGAGGACAAATAACAAAAAGAAAGATCCTGCTAAATCTTTGCATAATGCTTTTTCTAGACACCAAATAAACTATTATGAAGTGGTTATTGTAACAACAATTCTTATATTTTTCGACCATAATTAGAGAGATTCCACCATCTTGATCCAGGTTCTGCCAAAAATCAAAGCCTGATGTAAAGACATGCTTGCAGGTCCCAGAAAAATGACTGAAGGACTGGAAGAATTAAATAGGGGAAGAGAGAAAGCCAATTCAAAGATGCTGTATTGAGCTGGTCAACCACATAAATAAGTAGGTAGCTATTCTCCTCAAAGTCCTCTGAAGAGTCCTGTGAAATGTTCCTCAGATCTTCCCACTAAGGCAGTGATTCTCAATCTTTCTAATGCCACAGCCCTCTAATACAGTTCCTCATGTTGTGGTGATCCCCAACAATTAAATTATTTTTGTTGCTATTTCATAACTGTAATTTTGTAACAATTATGAATCATAATATAAATATCTGTGTTTTCCGATGGTCTTAAGTGACAGCATTAGGGTAGATGTTCTCAACCTTGGGTCATGACATTAGAAAGGTTGAGAACCTCTGCACTAAGAGGTGAAAGAATAGATTATCCCTGGATGCCAGTTCTCCATGGACATGTGCTGCCTATGGGATTATAAATTCCCTCATACTTTTCCTGAGAATTGGAGTCATGGCAGAGACACCCCAGGGCAGAAAGAGAGAAAGGTATTGCAGCTGAGGCAAGGTGCCACCAGGTCATACCAACACAGAACTGGTAGAACAAATGGTGAGTTACAAAAAGTGTCCTTGTATTGATAGCCAGAAACCCCACATAGATAAGGTGTTCAAAATATATTTTTTAGAATATAAATATTTTCATTCATTCAATAAATATGTATTTGATTAAAGCTCACTAAACCACAATTGTGGCTTCTTATAACTTGAAAGTTATAAGTGCTGTAAGAGCCACTAGTAGAATTATAGGATAATGACATCCCTGTTTATAAATTCATAGGGACAGATTTTAAACCAGAGTGCAGAACCAAAATGTATAGACAGTGAAGCCATTTCCAAGAGTCTAACTTTAGATGGGTCATGTTTTAGTCCACGTATTGCTAACCCACTAATTACAGGTGACAGTCAAGAAGCAATCATTTAGCCATGTTTTATAACCAAATACCTTGTTTAAAAAGAAATTTAACTCACAGAAAATTTGTACGAGTAGTAAAATGAACCTTACCCACAAATCCTTTATCCATATTCATCAAAGGCCAACATTTTGTTCTCTCTCTCTCTCTCTCTCTCTCTCTCTCTCTCTCCCTTTCTCCCCTCTCCATTCCTCCCATTCTTTCTTTTTCTTAAATTCTTTCTTAAATAACAATAAGAAGATAGATAGTTATGACCACTCAGAGAAGTTTATTGATTCATTCATTTGTAAGGCTATGGGCAAATTCTACAGCTTACATATAAAAGATTTATTGACTATGGTAAGCTTAAAAACTTAGAAATAGCCGAAACTGGTTTGGCTCAGTGGATAGAGCGTCGGTCAGCGGACTGAAAGGTCCCAGGTTCGATTCCAGTCAAGGGCATGTACCTGGGTTGTGGGCACATCCCCAGTAGGGGGTGTGCAAGAGGCACCTGGTCGATGTTTCTCTCTCATAGACGTTTCT